GAGGGAAAAAGAAAAGAAATTCCATCACTGAATTTTTTCTACATGGTCCCAATACATTGCCAAGGATATACTCTCAGCAGTACAGTACATCTGGTGTACTGGTGTGTGAGACCCTGAGTTTGATCCTAGACCACAAAAATTCATTAATTAAATAATAAAACTTATTCCCAATATATGGTTGTTCAGGCCCTCCCGTTGATCATCGATTTGCTCGAGCGGGCCCAGTAACGTCTCCATTGGAGACTTTGTTGTTACTGTGTCTGGCATATCGAATACTCTCGGTAGCTTGCCGGGCTCTCCGAGAGGGGCGGAGGAATCGAACTCGGGTCGGCCATGTTGGCTGCTTGTAAGGCGAACGCCCTACCCGCTAAAGCATCACTCTAAATAAAGTCCACAGTTCTGTTTTCACTTGCTCTTTAATATTTCGGGGGTGGGGGTGCGGGGAAAGTAGGGGGCTACTCCAGCAGGTAGTTTGGATATGCACAGCGGGTAGGGCATTCGCCTTACAAGCGGCCAACATGGCCCGGCAAGCTACCGAGAGTATTCGATATGCCAGACACAGTAACAACAAAGTCTCCAATGGAGACGTGACTGGGCCTGCTCGAGCAAATCGACGATCAACGGGAGGGCCTTTACCTTTTACCTTTATGGTTGTTCAGATCCCATATGGACTCTTGAAATATAGAGCTTACACCTTTGAAAATAACATGATATATTATTGTACAGACATTGCTAGAAAGTTTCAACCACTCTTTCTCCTTGCCAATCAGTTCTGCTTGGCTCATTAAATTTATGTTCAAACCAAGAACTTCAAATTTTTGCTTGTTTAAAAGAAACACATGCATCATGCTGTGTTCAGTTCTCATGTTACATATTCACACAATACCCCCATGTACATAAAATTAAATTCATCTGCTCATATACTTTGGGTCAATTTAATTATTATCCAGTTGTAAGAACCCAAAAAGAGTAAAACTTTTCCCCACTCCTGTCTTGCAGGTATTAGAAATTCACATAAAACAATTTATTATTTATATTTAGGCTACTTACCTTCTGCATTAGAATCCAATGAGAATAAGAGTGAAATGAAAAGTACCCATAGAAGCCAAAATATATGCCTGCATCACTGGAAAAAAGTATAGAAATGGTAAATAAGATGGCAAAAAAAATATGTTCAACATTATTAACCCTTAGGGAAATACAAATAAAATCACTATGAGATATCACTAGATATCTGCCAGAAATGCTCTTGGAGGAGAGGTGAGAACATAAATGCTGGAGAGAGGATGCAGAGCACATAATGTGTCTTTCGCACCTTCCTATGTGTAAAATGATACAACATTCTAGGAAAAACAAAAGGTGTGACAAAATTAAACCATGTGCTTCACTATATGAGTCAAAAAGTTCCATCCTCAGTATTGACACCAGAAAAAATTAAAACATGCTCACACCAAAACACATAGCAATATTCATAGCAGTTTTTTTTATCACTTAATCACTTAACTTCCCGTTTGCTCGAGCGGGCGCCAGTAACGTCTCCATTTGTCCCTGTCGCGTGCTAGTGTAGCCCAATGGCATCTGTTGGCTCCGGGAACATGAAGGGCCTCAAACCGATCGTTCATGATCTTGACGAAGAAGTCTGACCTTCTGGTAGGTGGGCGGCCACGCAGTCTTTTGACATCCCGTGGAATCCAATCAGTAACAGCTCTAGTCCAACGGTCGTCTTTAAATCTCATTACATGACCAGCCCATCTGATTTTCGACACCTTGGCAAATGAGACAGTGTCCCTGATCCTTGATCGTCAACGGATGTCAGAACTCCGGATTCGTTCTCTCATTTGAGTGAAACGTGATATTCCAAGCATAGCTCTTCCTATTCTTCTTTCTCTTTTTTTTCATACTCAACCAAAATTAGAAGTAACCCAAAAGTCCCAATGGATTGCTACTTAAACAAATTATGGGACACCCATAATGTTGGATACTATGCAGCAAATAAAAGGAATGAACATTTAATTATACAAAAATTTGGAAGAATCTCATGGAAATTATGCTGAGTGAAAAAAGTCCATCTCAAAAGGATATTGACTTCATGTTCCCATTTATATAAGATTTGTGAAATAAGGCACATTTCTGCTGAGAGAATAAATGAGTGGTGACCCTGAGTTATGGGAGGGAGGAAAGGAGAGTGTAGCTGTGACTATAGGATTCAGTACAAAGCATCCTGTACTAAAGAGATCCTTACAACAGAGCTTTTCTTTATCTTGAAAGTAGTGACAGTCACACAAATGTACACAGGAGATAATTTGCAAAATGTATTCCCCATCTTCTGAGATCTTTGTACAGTGTGTGATAATGTGTACCTCTTCCTTTGAACCCACTTTTAAAAACCTTGTTTCACTAAGCACTCCAACTTTCTAAAGAGAAAATACAGGAAGTTCTCACTTAACCATCACCAATAAGTTCTTGGAAACCGTGACTTTAAGCAAAACAACCTCTAAGAAAATAGGGTACTTGAATAACATCATTTTAGTCAATAACATCCAGGAAATTTTTATGCATTTTTATTGTGTGAACACTGATTCAGAAAAGTGAAAATGTTTATGTATGTGCTTTAAAGAACAATATTATTTCACAACCACCTCAAGGTGTCAACATCCCTCTGTCAGAGTTCATTGTGGCCTCAGTTCATCTCATGACCTTGAACTTCAATTCTATAGTCACAGTCTAAGACTTTGTTTTCACTGGACATTGTCTATTCCTTTTCTTTGTTTCTTCATATGAGTGAATTGTTTTGCTTCAACATTAGTAAGAAATGGCATTGAACAAAACAATGTTAACTAAGGGCCTGCTATATAAGAATCAATACTTCTGTATAAACTCCTTTGAGATCCTCTGAATCCAAGTATGATTATGCACTTAAAATTTACAACAGTGAAGATTTGGTGGAAAAGTTTCTCATTAAGTTTGTTAAACCATAAGGGATATAAAATATCCAAGGATGTGAAAAACAGCCTTTGCTGGGATTCTTTGAAAATGTGCTAAATGTTTATTTCAATGGCTATTGATTTAAAACTTAATTATGGAGTTGCCTTAATTACAGCCACCTTTGGAACCATATCTACAGAAGGACATAATCTAGTGCTCACCCTCCTAGACCTGATTATAAATTAAAGATGATGATGGAAAAAGTAATCACAGAACCATGTGAGGTATTCACCAGGAAAAAAAGTGAAAATGGAAAGATACTTTGAAAAGTTATAGGCTAGAGAGAGTACAGCAGGCGAGTCACTTGCCTTGTTCAAGGCTGGCCTGCATTTGATCCCTAGAACTACATAATAGTCCCCTGAGCCTGCCAGAAGTGATCCCTGTGTGGAGAACCGGGAGTAATCCCTGAGAACAGCCAGATATGGCCCACAACCTTCCCCCAAACAACACGCAAAAATAATAATAATAATAATAATAATAATTAAACTCTTCTTAAAATATATGAACATCTCACAAGTCTTGGTGACAGAGCAATGTGGGGAAGCTTTTGGCACAGTTTAGTTAAAAAAAAAATAAGAGAACATGATGATTTGGAGGACGTCTAGTAGATCTGCCACAGTGGGAATAGCAGCCAGTGCAGTTAGTCCCCTGTGCATTGGGGAGAACTACAATTGGAAAATTAGTGAAAGTTGAGATTAGGTACTGGAGAGGGCTGGTACACAGAGATCAGGATTTTTCAAGTACCTCGAAGGACTGAGGCTATGTTAGGAGCAAAAGTCATATTAAATTGGCAGCTCTAGTTTATCAGTATCACAGGATACCCTCTAGCTTTCCTCTCTCTATAAACCACCTTTCTGTGGAGTCCCTTGAGCTTCATAAATTTATCCCAATATCCTCTCTTTATCCACAAAGCCTTCTCGGTTCTTTACCGGATGGGATAGAAAGGGTGTGGGTATCCATGGGTGTGCCCTACTGGAACTCATTCTGGGTTCACCACTTTCTTTCCGTGCTTCTATTTCCTTATCTGCTACCAGTGGAAATAAAAGCATGGCAACTTCCAAAGGTTATCTCAGGACTGAATACGTTCATTGATCTATTTAACTCAGTACACTGACACAAAGGAAGTGTTGAAGAAATGTTTATCTTAATGGCATGTTATGGTCCTCCGCACATACACACACCCAGCAGTGGGCGAGGTCTACCACTGAGGCTCAGTTAACTTTGAACTAACTTGGGTGTAGAAGTCAATGTCCTCCCCTCAGTCAGCTCCAACACCTCATCCTCTTTGCTTAGGCAATTAATTAACAGAGGTCGGAAGTACTTTTGCAGGTGCTTGAGGTTGTTGAGGCAAGAATTCCAAACTATGCTTTGGGAAAAAACCTGAGATTCCCCTTCCTTGGCCCTCTGGCTGGATCCCTGGTGAGGGAGGGCCCAGCCCTTCACCTTCTGCAATCTTACCATCTGCCCTCCCAAAGGGGGCTCTGGATGACAGCAGGTTTGGCACCTCTTTGCAGAACGGTGATGCAAACGTGGTTTCTGTCTCCCAGTCTGCAAGCCACATCATATACCTTTTCATCCCTCACTTTCACTTCCAGAAGCTGTGTACTCCCCAGACTGGCCCAGCTGGCTGGCCTCCAGCTCTAGGACCAGGTATCTGCTCATTGGCGCCGCCCGCTGACTCGATGAATTCTTGTTCTCCAACTCCAGGGACTTTCCTGACTTCCTTCTCTAAATGAAGGCATGATCACACTGTACATAACTATGCTTGGGAAAGCTTTCTCCTTCTTCTTCTTCTTCTTCTTTTTTTTTCTTAAAGCAAACTTGGTTTCTGTTGTAGGCGGTGCATTCCCTAACGGGGCGGGGTGCAGCCTGTTGTGTAGGGGGGAGGGAGAGAGGGAGGCCAGAGGGAGGAGTAAGCAGTGATTAATTCATCCACTGTAAGCACTGGGCTTCTATTTAATGGAGGGTCTCTCTGGCCAGGAGGCATCAGAGACACCTCTGACAGCAGCAGGATCATGGCTGAGAATGTCGGGGAGGCCATCAGGGTGGAGATGCTACAGGAGGACCACAGCTATGGGCCCCAGGCCAGTGCTGGGAGAGCGGCCAGAAGTGACAGCCGCAGAAACGGGGCTCTCACCTGCTGCCTGCTGTCGATCCCCATCCTCGCAGTACTCGTCGCCTACCAGTTCATCTACCAGACCCAGATCCCTGAAGAGGGCTGTATGTCCAAGGTAAGCAAGATTCTACACTGGCCGCGGGGGGATCCGTAGACCCGCTGACCACTGCCTGGGATTCATGGCAGCTGCAGATGGAATGACTCCAACTATCCCAGTTCAGGCTTCAACGGTGCAAAGGCAATGTATCAAATGAGAGGTGGGCAGGTCCAATTTAGATTTTATTTTTAATATCTCCTAGGAATCACTCATCCCTTTTCATGTTTATATGGGAACAAACTCAAGGCACTTCTCTTTAGATAATTATAATCATACCAGACTGATCACTTGGGAATATACTTTCTTTACGAAGAAAAACTTCCACATTGCATAATGAACACGTAGTCACTAAAAATAAATTAGAAAGCACAGAGAAGGAAGAAAAAGATCATTCTCAATGTCTATAACCCTAGAACATGACCATGGCTAACATATAGGAGAATAGAATTCCATATTTTTGAATAAGTGAACTCATGGCAATATGAAATTTTAAATGGATATATTACATCCTTGTATATGTATGTGCTATAATTTATTGAATCAGCCCCTTTTCCTAGGGTTAGAAACATTCTTTTTCAAAGTTCTAGAAAGAACCAAAAAATTGTTTGTCTATCTCGTAAGTTTTGCTGGGGTGGGGAAGGGGATGTCAGGGGAGGATATTGGTAAACAAAAAGTATAGGTTCTAGTTTGCAATGTTGATACTGAAAGGTTATCAAGAATATCCCAATGCCCAAAAGGGGAGAAACAGACAGACAGACAGACAGACAGAGAGAGAGAAGGGAAGCATCTGCCATAGACCATAGAGGCAGGCAGGGGGTGGGGGTGATGGGAGGGAACATGAGGACACTGGTGCTAGGAAATGTACACTGGTGGAGGGATGGGCATTGGAATACTGTATGACTGAAATCCAATCATAAACAGCTTTGTAAGGGTCTATATCACAGTGATTCAATTAAAAAGTTAAAAAAAATACCAACATACCCTCCAACACAGTTAATGGAAATCCCTAAGGTTGTTTTATTTTTTTGTTTTGTTGATGTTACTGCTGGTACTTAGAATAAAGACTAAAATCTAAATTGAAAAAAGAAGAAGAAGAATATAGTTTCTAGGGAGAAGTGGTGGGGTGGGTATAGGTGATGAGGAAGAAATTTCTCATTCTGGAACTTTGAAACGAATCTTAACTGAAATGAAGAATGTATCATTCAAGTAATGCACCATGGGGGGGGGGGGACCATTTTTCAGCCAAGTAAACACCTGGTGGTGCTCACCATTTTGCAGCCAAGAAAACACCTAGTGGTTACTCCTAGCCCCTGTGCTCAGGGATTACTCTTGGTGGTGCTCAGAGGGGTGGGGGATCAAATGGGCTGCTCGGAATTAAACCCGGGTTGGTCACACGCAAGGCAAATGCTTACCTACTGTACTCTCTCACACGTCCCAGGCAATGTACTTTTTAAAAACTATCACATAGTCTGTGATGATGGCTTTTATTTCAGTCCAAAGTGCTACAGTCTACAGGAGTAAACAGACCTTTACCATGGCTCCCTGGAAGCCTAACTTCTCAACAATGCTGAGCTACTTCAAAGAAGAACCATAGGAAATGAGTTCTGGCTAATATGTAACTCTCACCAATCCCATGTGTGTTGACTAGCAGTTAGGATTCAGGCATCTGGTGTGTCTCTGGCTGCAAACTATCATCCAAGATATGTAGACATAAGCAACCAGACATTTCCTTGCCAAAGGAGAATTACAGGGCACTAGAGGTCAGCCTGTGGCCCTCAAATCACCCTGAAGCTGGTTCCTATGAAACCAAACCATGGCGTCCTGCTGGGATGCTCTGGGGCTCTGCCCTTCTGTCCTTCTGCATCCAGAAGGAGAGGACTGCTCTTAGGTGATCTGCAGAAACCTGTGTTCTCTTAGGTTCACATGCAAAACTTCTATCTTCCCCCAAACCCTATCTTGAAATCCCTATCCAAGAAGCCAGAGGCTGCTTCTCTTGTTCTAGAAGATTGCTAACTAGAGGCCATGGAAAGCCAAGTGCAGAGTGTTGCCCATGACTAGCCCATTCAGAAAGTGAGTTGGAGTCAACTTCTGCAGGGGAGGTGCTTAAGACCTGTAGAGATGAAAAGACTTACCCCATGCTCTGTTGTAGTTACACCAGTGTTCCTGGGAATGCTGGTAGCTTGGTGTGGTCAGGGTGGGTATCCTCTTGGCACAACCAAGGGAAGATAAAGGCCTGGTGCACATAGAGCAATCAAGATGCTGAAAAGATAAAACCGAGAGTGAAGAGTGAGAGTACAGGAGGGGGGCTAGAGAGATAGCACAGTGGGTAGGGCATTTGCCTTGCATGCAGTCAACCCAGGTTTGAGTCCCAGTATCCCAGAATGGTGCCCCGAGCACCACCAGGAGTAATTCCTGAGAGCATGAGCCAAGAGTAATCCCTGTACATCTCTGGGTGTGACCCAAAAAGCAAAAAAGAAAAAAATAAAAAGAGAGAGTACAGGAGACAAAGTGCTTGCTTTGCATGTGGTAGATCCTGGTTCAAATCCTGGACACTACATCTGGTCCCAGAGCACTGCCAGGAGTCACTCATGAGCCAGAGCCAATGATAGCCCCTGAATACCACAGGTATGAACCAGCCCAACACTTCCCTATGCAAAAAGGGAAACCCAAAAAGGGAAAAAAATAGCAAACACATTCAGAGAAAAGAATTTAAATGTATTTCACTTGGGTGATATATTCCATCTGATTTCTTTGCCCCTAATGAACATGGGATAATTTCTTTTCTAAACATGCCAAGAGCAAAAGTAATAAAATACTTAAAAACTTTCAAGCACTTGATAGCTTCTTATTTCTAAAATGCAAGCATTCTCAAACCATTATGAAGCTTTTGTTCTAGAGGGAAAACACAGCTTTTAAAATAATTGACTCAATAATAAATACATTCCCCAGAATCTCTATCTTATTTTATTTTAATTTTATTTATTTTTCACTGAATCACAGTGGAATCTCAGTTTTATTTTCTATGAAAAGACATTCTTCCTCATTCTAGGAAACTTACATTAGGATATATTTATCTAGAAATATCCAGGATACTAACTTCAAAGTGGAGACTAGATTTTGTTCCACTCAAATTCTATCCTGATGTGGTGTCATTGGATTTGTATTTATATTAAATGCTCAGAATTAGACATCAGTTTGCTGAGTTCTCCCTATGTGTGTGCATAAATTCTAACACATATCCCTGCCAAAGATGATGGTATTAGCTATTAGTCCCTTTGGAAATTGGTTTAGAATTTGATAGTGGACCCATCAGACTTCACAAAAGAGCCTCCAATAGAGTCCCCTTGACTCTTTTACCATATGAAAACACAGTAGGAAAAATTAAAATAAAGGAAACCTTTGATGTTTTAAAGGATTCCAATAAGGATCTCTTTGTCTAAAGGTAGGCAGATAAAAAGAGAAAAGTCGGGGCTAGAAGAATCCTGGGAAGAATAATAGTGAGAGAAAACCAGTCACAATTCATGGCCTAGGAGTCAGATGGAGGAAAAGTTTAGGGAAACGAGACAAGAAGAGGACTTTTCCGGATAAGCTAAGAGCTGAGTAGAGCAAGCTAAATGCCCAAGAGAGCACCTATACCTAAAAGATCAGGGAAACAGCAGGAAGGAAGAGTGAAAACTTTGATCTCAGGTCCCAATCTGACCAGTTGGCCTGCTCACCTAGAAGCTGAGATTCCAAGAAGCCAAGGAGCAAGTTCGACTTACTAGTTCCCAGACTGGCTGGAAATGGATCCTGCCACCTAACAATCCAAAGGCGGAAGAAGAAGAAGAAGAAGAAGAAGAAGAAGAAGAAGAAGAAGAAGAAGAAGAAGAAGAAGGAGAAGGAGAAGGAGAAGGAGAAGGAGAAGGAGAAGGAGAAGGAGAAGGAGAAGGAGAAGGAGAAGGAGAAGGAGAAGGAGAAGGAGAAGGAGAAGGAGAAGGAGAAGGAGAAGGAGAAGGAGAAGGAGAAGGAGAAGGAGAAGGAGAAGAAGAAGAAGAAGAAGAAGAAGAAGAAGAAGAAGAAGAAGAAGGAAGAAGAAGAAGAAGAAGAAGGAAGAAGAAGAAGAAGAAGAAGAAGAAGAAGAAGAAGAAAAGGAAGAAGAAGAAGAAGAAGAAGAAGAAGGAAGAAGAAGAAGAAGAAGAAGGAGGAAGAAGAAGAAGAAGAAGAAGAAGAAGAAGAAGAAGAAGAAGAAAAGGAAGAAGAAGAAGAAGAAAGAAGAAGAAGAAGAAGAAGAAGAAGAAGAAGAAGAAGAAGAAGAAGAAAAGGAAGAAGAAGAAGAAGAAGAAGAAAAGGAAGAAGAAGAAGAAGAAGAAGAAGAAGAAGGAAGAAGAAGAAGAAGAAGAAGAAGAAGAAGAAAAGGAAGAAGAAGAAGAAGAAGAAGAAGAAGAAGAAGGAAGAAGAAGAAGAAGAAGGAAGAAGAAGAAGAAGAAGAAGAAGAAGAAAAGGAAGAAGAAGAAGAAGAAGAAGAAGAAGAAGAACAAGAAGAAGAAGAAGAAGAAGAAGAAGAAGAAGAAGAAGAAGAAGAAGAAGAAGAAGAAGAAGAAGAAGAAGAAGAAGAAGAAGAAGAAGAAGAAGAAGATGGAATTTTAAAAGGGGAAATCCAGGTCACCACACAGACCTTGCGTAGACATCACAGCAAAACGCTAAGATGCTTTAGAAAACTGAGCCAGAACACCAGTTCAGCTGTGTCTGTCAGTGTTGAAAATAAGCACATAGTTGCTTTCATTGAGCCTGTTTCTTTTTTCTACTAAAATAGGATATTATATCAATATGCCAACAGCATGATGATGACCATTGCATGAGCAGTTTATACTTGGCAATGTGAGGGAAACCACAGGCACGAGGTTATTGGAATGATGTGAATGTCATGCAACATCAGACTCCAGGTGGCTGCCAAGAAAATTTGACCTTGGCCTTGGGGAGCTCATATCTAATGTGTGAGCCAGTGAAGAAATCAGAATATTTCAACAAGAGGTGCCATGACATTCTATATCTTCTCCTAGCCCCGCCTTGGTGTGGGTGATTCAAGGAATGCTACATGGAGGAGGGAAGAAAGGGACCTGTAGCTGAATAGCTGTGTCCAAAGTCTAGCTACCAGCCCCATACAGTCAAGAACCCATCAGACAATTATTGGAGGTTGTACACATGCTTGGCTGGGGTGATTGCCTCCCAGGGTCACACATCCATATGGCATGCTCCCAAACTGGCCAAAGCACTCTCTAGTATTTGCACACCTTTTGAGTTACAGAGTTGGCGCAGGACCTCAGCAGGAGTCGCACTCCTGATCCTGGTACTCCCACATCTTCAATTGTGGTGCTTGCACACCCTGACTATGCACCCAAGATCACACCCTCTGGCATGACCCCAGGGAGGAAGGTGGCGCAGCAGAACTGACACTGAGTTCAGCAGCTGTGAGCAGCATGAGGAATTCCCCAGAGGGATCTTTGTGAGCCCGCCTAGGCTGGAAGTGGGGATAGCTTCATCTCAGAATGAATCGGCCCATTTTTTTGATTCCCCAGTTGAGTCGCCTCTCCCGCTGCAGCTCTGCACCCTCAGAGAAAATTTGTGATCTGATCTCAGGAACCATTTTACATCACTAGCTCATATAAGAAAGAAACAAGAGAATGGGAGTATTTGGTGAAATTAATTCTCCAAAGATCACTTGACTCTGTACAAAGAAGTCTTGACAACCTTCACATGTTTGCTTTCCAGTTCTGTCTCAGTGACCTGTCCAAATGCTCACATCAGCTTGTTCTTCAAACCCATGGTCTCCCTAAACATGCATCTCACTTACTGGGTTTCTTTGCTTGCTTGCTTGCTTTTCCACTCTGGAGAAACCTGTGTTGTCACTTGAACATGAATTTCCCCCTCTTACTCTCCTCTCACAATTTTTCTAAACAAGTTTCATCCAGTAGAAACTACTTTGCTTCACTAAAAATAAATAAAATTTTTGAAATGCCACCTGCCTTTTCTCGACACCCCATCCCTGCCCTCTCCTCCCAAAGCTGGTCTCCCCAGTTCCTCTTTGTTTCTACCTGCTTTCCTGCTCCCACGATTAATATGGCAAGTCTTTTCCACTATACTTTGAGGAATTTCTTCATTCTACCTAATTATAACCACAGGAAGTTGGCATCACTAAAAATCTCTTCTAATTTAACATGGGAGCAAGGCTTAAGAAGAGAAAGAATGAAAATGAGCAAAGTCCAGTACCTCCTTGAGTTTCCGTTTTCTTGTTGTTCCTACCCAACTGTTGGGTCATGAAAATTTCAAGGTGACCCTGTAGAACTCCTACCAAGCATAGGCATTCTGGGCATTTGCTAGGTGTTTGTCCCTTTCCTTTCCCTAAGTAGATGAGAAAAGCTCTTTACAGATTCTTTCTTTGAAATTGAAAGATGAGAATTCCCTTATCCTTGAAGTTAAAAATGTTAACCCACATCATGTTCAAGTCCTGCCCATGTAACTAAATTTTATTGGAATATAAACATGATTGCTTTCTTACACAGTATTGCCCTGCTACAACAAAATTGAAGGAGTAGAATAAAAATGGGTATAGGTTTCCAAGGTAAGATTCAATCTCTGGTCCTTAGTATGAAGTCTGTCAACTTTTAATGGAGTCCAATCTCCTCCTTCATGGTAAAAATAGAGTTTCAGACAAGAGAAGGAAGTGTTCAGGGTCCCAGAGAGGGCTGGGGCACTTTTTAAAGATAAAACATTAAGCGGGGGGAAAAAAGAAAGAAAAAAATGTATAACACATATAATATAGAATCCTTCCTTTTCTCCAGAAAAGGGTTGGTGGTGTAAATATTTTTTTTTAATTTTTATTAGTGAAACATCATGAGGTACAGTTGTAGACCTACAAATCTCTGCACTTGGGTTTCAATTATACAATGATCAAATACCCATCCCTCAGTGGTGGAAAGATTTTTTTTAACAAGTCTTTCCTTTAGCACAAAATGTGCATGTTACCTGTGCAAAAAGGCATGAAGATGGCAAACTGTTTTAGAATCATTAGGCTATTGTGACGTTCTAGGAAGGTTTGCAGCATGGAATAATCACAGGGCTCAGTTTGAATTCTGGCCTGATCTCTTCTTAGCCACGTTACCTTACCCTCCGTGGGTTTTAGCACGTAGGTACAAAACAGGACTTAGAAAGCATTTCAAGTCTGACCAGGGGGTTAGAAAAAGGTAATATTTATTACTCGTATGATCAGTGAACTTCTCTGCTGGTGGAAATTCCATCACAGAAGACAATTTCCCTATCTCTGAAATCCGCTCTCATCAGGCTAGAGAGCAAGTTTTCAAGCTAGAGGACTTGTTTTGGTTCCCAAATGTATGGGCTACCTCCATGCTTCCATCTCTACCTGACCCTACCTTGCATCCCCTAACCCACCTCTAATCCTGCCTTTACCAACTGCTGAGAAACCTGGATATGTTTTGGGTTCTCCATAGCTCCTCCTGTCCTCTGACCAGTACTTAAGCTTTATTCTGGCCTCCAGGACCCCTGAGCCCACCACCCTCTTCCCTAAGCTCTGCCTTGGTGCATATACCAGGGACACCAGCCCATACCAGGCTGACTCAGCCCCAAGTCCATGCATTGTGGGCACTCAATACCAAACAATGAATTACCAGAGCTTCTCAGGAGATCTTGCTCCTACCCCCTCTCTGCTCCTGTCCTTCCTGTGGGGTCCACTGCTAAAATTATCTACTTCATTTCTCCTGAGTTCCCTTTGCTCCAATTTCCATCCTTGAAGGTCCCTGCAAGAACCCTCCCCTTGTCCACTGCTCCTCTCTCTTCTCTCCTCTCCCAAGTTCCTAAGAACCCCCTGGTCTTCCTAAAAACCAATAGGACACCCTAGGGACACAAGCTGAAGTTCAAACTTCCAGAAGGTTCTCACTCTACCTTCAAAGAAGAGGCCTTAGAACAACTCACGATTTGCACGTATCATTCTAAGTTATTGCAGACTTAGTCAGTCTCTGAGGTATGATAGCAGCAACTCATTGACCACTAGGATGAATCAGGATTTAACAATGACAGTGTGAAAAGTGAAGGCACATAGGAAGTACTTAGTGAATGAAGATCCCCTTTTCCCCCTGACAGCACTGGGTCTATAGAAAGTGAGTTGGCTAAAGAAAGGAGTATAGGAAGGTGCAAAGTACCTTATGTCTCTAAATCCAGGTACTGTCAACAAAGCGTTGAGTCTATAAGCACACTTGTCCTCATACCATACTGAGAATTCTTCTTGAAAAGCTAAAACTGGAAGGTTCAAGAAACATTTCCCCTACTTTCTGCTTCTTGACCAAGCCCTTATATCTCCTTCAAGTTGGATGATTGTCAAAAGAAACCACTTAGATTTTAAAAAGTGGGGGGAAGGGCTTAGTAAAATGTCCAACACTGTGCATTAAGGGTGCAGTACAACAGGAAGAAAAATCCAGCTCAAGCCATGGGCAAAGGACATCAAAACTGATGGTAGGGAAGGTGCAAATGAGAATTGGCCACAAACTTCCACCACAGCAGGGAATTGCAGTGTTTCTGTCATTAGTTCATCTGTTGAAAGGAGCATGCATGTGACTTCATGCCTAGCTCCATGAGCGTTCACAACCTCACCCTCCAGACCAGACACTGCTGACCGCAGGAGCAGAGCAGCTGCAAGAGATCAGCCTCCAACTGATGTCTTTATGGAGGACATACATTATAGGCCCTTAGACTGCTGCATTCTGAAAGCACAGACAACCAGAAGCAAAGCACAGGGGAAAGAAAGCTCCTTTGAAGAATGAGAAAACCATCACTCAATGGTTGAGAGTTCATGCTAATCCAGGGCTTCGGGGTGGCTTCTGTTTACCATAAACGTGGTAAGACCAAAGGGAAGACATTTAGAATCAACCCCACCCACTACAAGCATTTATTGAGCCCACAGAAGGAATCAGATAACCATTCATGTAAACAAGCTTCCTTAGTCATATTGGAACCCTAAGATAAAAGACTCAGCGTCTGCTCTGATTGGTGGGGAAAGGTTAGGTGGCATGCCTAAGTCCAGTCACTAGGAAATAGCAGGACTGGGATTTCCATTTTGGCTCAGCTGCCAGCACCACATTCTTGGCACCACTGGGAAAGTCACATGAGTCGTATCTGGCACACCTTGCAGGATGAGGTCATGACATGGTCTCAGAAGAAAACATTTACAGACCAGAGGAAGTTAAGAGAAGAAGTCAAGTAAACATGTACACTTCTCTGTGGCGTTCTCAGAGGATGTTTGGGTCATAAACCACTTATACCATTGCAACTATATCATTTATGATTACAAAATGAATATCTCTTCCTATAATGAATATGCTAGAGAGTGATTAAGAAACCAGGAAACTAAAGCTAAACAGACCATTTAGTTCTGAGGATCAAACCAGGACTGGCTGCATTAGAAAGAGACAGAGAGAGGGGAGGAGAGAGAGAGAGAGAGAGAGAGAGAGAGAGAGACTGTAATCACCCAAATAAGGAAGATCACTTCAAAGAGTGACAAATGCTCAGGAGAGGAAATAAAACTGGATTCTGATTCCCAGTCAGTAATTTGGGAAGGCATTTATAGGAAAATAAATCACATCTTTGTAGGTGTACAGAGGGGGAGAGTGTGGAGTCCGAGCCTGCTCTCGTTTGGAAGCTAATATTGCAGTGACCAGCACTCCTCAGGAATTTCCTTGGAGCCCCCAGAGTAACCTGGAAATGGTGGAGATGAATCAGGGTGTGCAGACTGTTTATTTCTTTTTTTAAAAAAGATACTTTCTTGGTCTGATGTTTTCAATGACCATTTTGAGAGTAAGCATGGAACCCGCTCAAATATATAAACACATCCTCAAATAAGCAACTAAGGTATCCTCCCAAATATCCTCTTCATTTATCTCTACTTCCCATAATATTCATCTTTCTCCCATGATAGTCAGCATGAAAAGATGCAGAAATGCAAGGCTTTTAATACTGTTCATGGGGAGAGGATTCCAACTGGTGTTCTTCTTGGAAACTGGAGGAATGTTGTGTTCTTCCGTGACAATCAGCATGATGTAGAGTGGCATTCTGGGCCACTAAAATCTATTCTGCCATGATAATAAAATGTAGGGCCAGCTTATAAAAATCAGCAAAGAAAATAGGAAAATGTGCTTACACTCCCAAATATATGATAATAACAGAACTATGAGTCTAAAAGACTGTTCCAAATTCTGAACATCTGCCTCAACAAAACAAGCAGTGAATCCAAGAAATGTTTTCAACAAAAAAAATGATGCAGAAGATCAACCAGAACAGATAACATTTTCTACCCAAGGATTGCACTGTGGCATTGTCCTCCCGTTGTTCATCGATTTTCTCGAGCGAGCACTGGTAACATCTCCATTGTGAGACTTGTTGTAACTGTTTTTGGCATATCGAATATGCCACGAGGAGCTCGCCAGACTCTGCCGTGCAGGCGGGATACTCTCGATAGCTTGCCAGGCATTCTGAGAGGGACAGAAAAATCGAACCTGGGCCGGCCATGTGCAAAGCAAAGGGCCTACCCACTGTGCTATAGCTCCAGCCAAATCTAAAATAATTATATTGCCAAAGGGTATGCAACAAAATTCTACCCAATTTTCTTTCAGAACACCACCTCCAGTTTTCTACCTTGCACTTGATTCATTTCTTGATCAGTCGATAGTTAAAAATACTACAAAATAAATTTATTTCTATGATCTTTCTCCATCCCACGAAGACACCAAAGTTATAGATGCTGGACTATATAACTGTGTTAATTATACATATATATGTATATATATATGTTGTACATGATATATATGTGACATACATATATAAGTTGTGTTGATAAAGTTTAGGTTTCCAAAGACTATTTGATTCATTGCCGAGTGATAAGTGCACACAAAGCATTCTTTTTGTAATGGAAAACCCTGTTTTCCAGCTTTTTATGAGCTCTGTTGGACTTCCTTACTCTTACACAAGCTCTTTCCTCTGTCTGGAATAACCATTACTTTCATCACTTGATTAATCCCATTAGACCATAGAAGACACAGTTTAGGGGTGGTGTCCATGAAGCCCATATTTCTTGGGTAGATTCTTATTTTCTAGACTCTCTTCCCTCTCTGTGCCAGTGCATAGATCAGCTGTATCTTATCCATCTGCTCAACAATTATTCAGATGCTGTAAGAAACAATGGTTACAGGTTTGGGATTTGGGAACAAATTGGTATAGGTGAAAAATCATACTCATCTACTTCCCATATGTGAGAAACTGAGTGAGTTAATCTCCCGAATTAATTTCCCTAATGCTTATTCTCAATCTAATGACATTAACAGTCTCCACCATAGAGGGCCATTGCAATGCTAAAAGGAGGGAACACTTAGGAAGGGCTTAGCAGAGGATTATCTCTGCGCTTTCAATATATAGCAGCTGCATTGGCAACACTTTTCAGGTCCCTTCAGTCATTCGCTATGGTTGCCTCTTGAGATTGGAGCCCAGAGGACCTGAATGGAAGTGGAGTGAGTTAAAAGTTGAGGGTGGTAAATTGCAACTTTGACTACCAACGTAAGTTTATGGGTCTATGTTGTAAAGGCCGCCGTGGGCCACTGAAGTTTACAGAGCAGTTATACTGCCATAAAGAAATGCTCTATAAAAGTCCTCTGAAGGAAGACAGTAAATAGAGTAGAGAAACAAGAACACAAATTCAGGAGACACTGGTCAGGAGGCTGTTGGATGGATGTGAGAGGGATAGCAGCATGCAGGGGGCTGGAGCATGGGTGTGAATGGGAAACACTGAGAAACAGAATAGAAAACTCTCCTTGAAACAGGAGAAGGAAGCAAATCCCAGAACTGACCAGCAGCGGAGGTGCCATTAATAGAGGTGGGAAGCAGAGAAAAGGGGATGAGAGAGACAATGATGCCAGTGGGTCACTGCACCCCAGAAAGGCTCCAGCACAGGGCATGCAGCTTGGGAGTGAAGGAGAGCCTACAGTGCACTGACAATATCACATAAAACACAAAATTAGAGACATCGCAATGACACAGCTCTGTGCACATGACCATACACATACTAACATGGTAGAGACCTGCAGGGACACCACACCACAGACAATTGAAAACAGGTGCAAAAACCCATTGATTCACTCTGTACCCTTCTGATATGATAGAATCGCCCTTTTATACTCATATAATTACACACACACACACACACACACACACACACACACCACATTTTAAAATGTAAAACTGATCAAGTGTCAATGGTGATGTGATGATCACTAATCACAGGAATGGTGTAAGGCTACAAAATCTAAATCAAAAGACTCAGAGTAAAGTCAAAATCACATCAAAGAAGATATTTGGGAAGCACAAAATGTAAAGTGGAATTATGTTCCTAAATTTTGACTTTAATTTTGCTCCTGAGCTTTATATTCAGGCCTGTGTGCCTTTTTTTTTTATTCCCCCTGCCTTCTTTTCACTTGGTCATATTTTCCCAATTCATTCTTTATCTCAAACTAGAAGGTAGCTAGTACTTGGGATGTTACTATGACCATTTCATAAAGAAGAATCTCAAAGCTCAGAGAGGAAAGTGCCTTGCTCAAGAGCCTATTCACACATGATAAAAATAGGAATCTGCCAGGGCCGGAGTGATAGTACAGCAGATAGATAGAGCATTTGCCTTGCATGTGGCCGACCTGGGTTCGATCCCCATATGGTCACCCAAGCACCGCCAGGAGTAATTCCTGAGTGCAGAGTCAGGAACACCCCCTGAGCATCGCCAGGTGTGACCCAAAAAGCAATAAATAAATAAATAAATAAATAAATAAATCTGCCTCCCACTACCACTGCATCCCTGACTCTGTCTTTCACTGCCACTGGGTCCTTGTTATACCTCATAAACTTGGATTTCAAGGATAAAGAAGTCTTCATGTAACCCATGGATACATGAAAGAAATGCTAACACTGATGAAAAGAGGAAAATGGCCATTATTTCTTTTTTCATGTTATTTTTAAGAATAGCTCCCTTGTTTAAGTTGTGGTTCAGAAGAGAAAAGAGAAGTGTCATTACTTGTTCAGATAACAAGAAATAACAAGGTGGCAGAGTGCAAGACTAGAGCAGGATACGTATAAGTACAGAACTTCAGAGACAGACATAATAAAGAGGAATAATTGGAAGTGCCAGAGGACGAAAGGGAAGCTTGAGTACAAGAGTCATGGCAGCCAAACCGCCAAACCATTCTAAGTCCCGCTCCCCTTCTCTCTCTTAGAGAGAGAAGGGGAGCGGGACTTAGATGTGCCAGGCTGAATAGCAATAGCATCTTAATCATGCTCATGCAATGAGCAATGTGTGTGTGTGTGTGTTGGGACCAAAAGATCTAGCAGTGATCTGAACCACTTCTTTCCCAACAGACTCAAAATGGACCTGAGCTTGCACCTTTACCTGCACCACTTTGTGAGTATATTCATATCTGATGTCTTTTCTTTGGAAGCAAGAATACTCCCACTAGTTCTAATATGTAGGAAGTCCAGAGAGATGCAAATCCAGAGCAGAAGTGAGACTTCTCCCCAGTTACCAAAAAAACAGAATGGTACCATGTCCATTGCATATGGTGTATGGGGTTGATGACTTTTAAGCAAATTATTTGCCCAAAGAATGCCAACCTCATAGATCATGTCACATCTCCTCTATAAGTCAATAAAAATAGTTATAACAGTATCTACAGCTCAGGGTAATGTGGATTAGTATTTTTGATAAAGGGATTAGAGCAACAGCTACCACATGGAAAGCAGGAAATATGTTTTTTCTTTTTGTCATCGACATCATCCTTATCCCAGCAATTGGAACACACTTGACCAATATTATCAATTTCTGAGACTCAAAAGTAAATTCTAATGGTGTCCCAGAGGGGGAGAGGGACCTGCCAAGGTCATATAGCTTGATATGAGCTCCCACCAGCACCCAGTTCCATTACGCCACCCAGATGACTCAGTGGATATAGAAAGACACCAGGAAGAAGTCAATTGATTTCCACAAAAGCAGCAGAAGGGATGGAGAGGCAAAATAAGCATCAACCATATGCCAGAATAACAATTATTATTCTGAATGTTCTCAACCGCACTAGTGAATAATATGCCCACCTAAGAGAAGAGCAAGTCTCCTGAGGTAATTCTGTCCTGGGGAATGGGGGGTGGAACTGGATCAAGGGGGAAGGAGAGCACTGTTTCTCTCCAGTTGCAGGTACCATGAAATACCCCCAAATACTGTATCCTTCCAATTGCTATGACTCCTACAAAGCAATTTTCTCTTTTCCTTACAGATTCGACTAGAGAAAAACCAAGGGCACATCTGACAGGTAATCGTCTAACATGTTTTTAAAGAAGCATGGACCAAAGAATCTCAGTTTCCTTTCAAAGTGTCTGTCAAAATTCATAGCAGAGCTTAGTGATCGCTCACTGTGAAGCTTACTTGTTGGAGACAGTAACCATCATTCAGACTGGAAACTAACTCCTTTTGTAGCAGATTTCTTTTTGTTAGGGGTTTTCTGTTGGTTTCATCCCTGAAGTATTCCAATAATGCATGTCTCTTGGGCATTTTCTTTCAAGTTCTATCAGCCCTCTTCCATTCTCTACTGTTTCTCTCTTTCACCCAGCTATTGAAGAATCACTTTCCCCAGAATTCACATCATTCTAAATCTCCTCAAAGACAAAAAGATCCTGATTTTGATCCTTTCGATGGGCGTTACCTCTTTCTGGGATTGTTCAGGAAAATTTGGGTTAATAAAAATTAAATCCTGACTTAGTAAAGAGAGACTTTATGCAAAAGAATTACTGCATCTTCCCTATGACAAAGTTTACAAGGTACTCAAGAGTTAGGCTAGGGGAGATGACTCAAAGGAATCCAGAGCACTGCTGGAAGTGGTCCCCAAGGACTGAGTAGGACTAGCCCTGGAGCGCCACCAGTGTGGACCAGCCCCTTCCTCTAAAAGAGAGTTAAGTTTTCTTTATGGAGTTGGGGTGGGGGGCAAATACAATGCTAGAAACAGGTGTATGGAATCTAGATGAAATGTTGATTGATTGCATCAAGGAATATTTGACCATAGAGGGTCAGGGAGGGAAAACCAAGATAAGGCAAAGTTCAGAGGAAGAAGAGCTTCACAAGCATTTTATTCTGATGAAACAATGGCTACAACAGTTCAACTAATCATTTACAAGACCAAGAGTGGGAATGTGGAAAGGTTCATATCTGGCCTTGTCACTACCCAGAGGGGCATCAGCCCATCTATCTAAGTCGGAAGGAAGAGCATCTCTTAGCAGTGTGGTCTGTTCTTAAACAGCAAGCAGTGGCTTTCCTACAGTTCCTGTTTTCCAGGTTCACAGCACTTGGATAAATTTTAAAACTTTTAGATAAGAACACAGCCTCAAGGAGTTCCAGCTCACCTGTGCTACCGCTCTGTAAACAAGTGTGTGTCCACACCCTCTCCTGCCTGTTTCCGCACAAGGCTCTTATTGCCGGCTATTTTAATTCCTTCGCTTTACTCTTCAAGTGTGGTAGCTGACACTTTTTAGCAATACCCTGAGTTTCCAACATGAGCCAATGAAATCTCTCTCTTGACTTTGCAGTTGAGAAACAAACTCCCACCCAATCCTTGGGAAATGTGCTACCAGTTCTGCGTTGGCAAGATAAGGTTGGCTTGGCCTTCACCAAGAACCAGATGAACTATACCAATAAATTCCTGATGGTCCCAGAGCGAGGAGAATATTTTGTGTACTCCCAGATCACATTCCGAGGGACCAGGCGTCCTTGTGGCACGATTGACAAGGCTAACCAAGACAACAAGCCTGAATCCATCGTTGTGGTCATCACCAAGGTATCTAACCGAGATCCCGGGCCAATTCAGCTTCTAAGGGGAACCAAGTCTATGTGTGAAATAAGTAGCAACTGGTTCCAACCCATTTACTTAGGGGCCATGTTCTCCCTGCATAAAGGGGACATGCTGATGGTGAACGTCAGTGACATCAAGTTGGTGGATTACACAAAAGAAGATAGAACATTCTTTGGAGCCTTTCTGTTATAGGAGAAAATAAGACATCATTGCATTAAGGTGTAAGGCCTCCAAGTTCCTTTGTTTCTTTTTTCGATAATAACTTGGATCATTCGTTAAAGACAATGCTTTAACTCTGACATGTTCTCACCCTATTTTTCTTACTAATGAGATTATAGAGAGCACAGAAATATGACCATGGTTTCTCAGAAAGTTGTGAGTTGCTAATTATTAAAATTCAGACACCAACAAAGGTGTGACCCACTTGCATGAAAATTTTAAAAGGAACATTTTCAGGCCTTCATACTCTGGTGTTAATCTCCAGTTGGACCCAGCTTTTGTTCAATTTGACCATGAAGCAGTTGCTTCCACTAAGAAGCCTTGAAAAAGTCAAAGTTGACAAAGTCCAACAGAGCAGAGAACAACATAAACTCTTCAGGGGAAAAGTCCTGTCTTAGTTTACTCAAACACACACTTTACTGCCATGCCTGAAAACCTAAAAGACATTTTCATTTCTCATAAATGTTACTGAACAAAGGAAATTGATCTTCTTGTCATCTATCAGAAAAATTTCATGTTTTTTTCATTTGTACACAGCAAGGATGAGTCCCACATACATATAATAATAACATTTCTAACCCAGTTTTCTTGAGTGCCTGCTTTAACCCAGAAGACACTATGATGAACAAGAAAGACTCTACTCAAAACTTGGCATGCAACCACTAAATAGCTCCAGATGGATGACAGGTAAACATACTCCTCCATCTAACTTGAAGTCCTAAAACTGTATCATCACGTACTTTCATGTAAGATTTGTGGAGTTCTACTCTATAAGACATCCAACTGATTTGCTCACTCAAGAAACCTGAAGACAATTTTCTAACCAACTAGACAGCAAACCTGATTGACACGAGGATTCAGTGAACTTATTCCAAGAGGAAAATAAGTCAGCTACCAAAACTGGAGAAGTTAGTGTCGCTTTGCTTGTGGATTTTATGCAGAGGGTTGTGTAAATTTTTAACTTTAAAATAGAAGACACTTGATATCAAGATGTCTCCCACCCTACACTTTCACGGGTTTCTATCCTCTCATCCACAGGATTTTCCTGCACTGCCATAGCAAGGATGGTAAATGCAGATCAGCATCGATTCTTTCCCCAGACCAAATCAGCTCCTGATGACAAAACACAATAACCTGGAACATTCTGTGAAGTCTAAGGAGCAAGACAGTTTGGTCTGGGGAATGACCTCCAGTATGTTGGTCTCTATTATTTACACTCTCTATTTCAGTGGAACAACATGGATAGATCTGAAGGCACTCAGGCATTAAAATTACTCTTACCCTTGCTGCCAATTGACTACAGTGTTATAGCTGTACTTGATCCATGTTTACTGAGTTATAATGAAATAAAAATTAATTTCTGAGGGCTGGAGCGATAACATAGCAGGTAGGGTGTTTCCCTTGCATGCAGCCTACCTGGCTTCGATTCCCAGCATCCCATATGGTCCCCTGAGCACCGTCAGGAGTAATTCCTGAGTGTTAAGCCAGGAGTAACCCCTGAGCATTGCTGGGCGTGACCCAAAAATAAAAAAAATTAATTTCTGAATTCTCAGAAGATTCTCAGGACTTTAGTGTCTCAATATAATACAGGGTTCATATGGGCACATAAAGGCGTGGTCACCTCCAGTATGTTGGCCTCAGTTACAAATTCTTCTTCAGAAGAACTCCATAAAGGAAGTGGAGACTGAGTCCTGGCAGGAAATAGAAGAGTGGCTTTGAAGGATGGGCATCTCAGCAGGATAACTCTTTCCCTAGAGAAGAAAGGAAATTTTTCTAATGAACCAGTAAACGAGCTTGAGAAAATTCCAGCTCAATCAACTCCTCAAACAATATTTATTGGCAGTTCAAGATTGTTTCATCAATGACTCTAGTCTGGCTCAAGGGCCAGAACTAATACCCATTAAGTAAATGAAATACTTCACATCTGCATGTAGATAGAGAGCATGGAAAGCATCAGACTCTTAAGGATCAGGAAAGGAAGAGGCCAGAGCTTCCCACTCATTCTCTCCCTCATTAATAGAAACCCTTGAATCAAACAGCCTTCAAACCTGCCTGCTATTCCATGGTGGATACGAAAGTTTATCACGAAACAGCAATGTCCTGACAGCCTTGACTTGAGACTTTGGAAAAATCCCTAGAGCACGTTTATTTTGCTCTTGTCACAGACTTGTTTCTTGAAGAGTGTATTGTAACTTCATATGGTACTGATGAATTTGTTTAGTTCTCTGTTATCTTTTTCTGTTCAGTCAAAATATCCCAGTTAGGACTCAATTCAGAACTTTCTGTTTCTAGACATTCTTCATTGAAAAATTTGTGTGACTGAAATTGCAAAAATGGGTCATCCATTTTAAAAATAAGGAAAGGAATGCTTTTGTGAAGAGCTTTGAAGGGTTCTCGAAAGGAATAAATGAGATGCATTCAAGGAATTAGGAAGAGGAGTTTACTTTAAAAATAGCTATTTGGAGGGATAATACTTTTCTGGTTCAATGTCTCTCAAAAGGTTAAATTCAAATCAATTCCACAAACATTTCCAGAGTGCTTATTCACCCTAGGGATACAAAGATAAATTATGTTAGTCTCCAAGCTATTCATTATAACCGCCCAGCATTGTCTTTATCTGCCCATCCTTTATTTCAGCTGTCTTAGCTAATTAATTAGCTAACTTTAGGCATATGGATATTTTCTCATTATAAGAGCATCATTTAATGACAGATGATCATTAACAAAATGATTTGTGTTTAAATGATTTTTACACAAAGCCAGGTTTCTATAAATAAAAGGAGGAAAATAAGGATGACCTTTTTAATGGTCATTTAAAGAATTCACTCTTTAAACTACATGTGAAGATAGATTATTATCAACACCCTTGAAATTATCAGAACTTTATGGATCCCTGAGAGATGTTTTAAAAGCCTTATTCCTCAGCAAATGCAGACAGCTTTATCATGTTGTTTTGACAGCAGTGTGGTTTATTTAGATTTATTTGGCAGAGTGGAATTGCTTAAGCTACTAAAATACCTAAATAGTTTGACTAAAGTACAGTAGATGTGTTTTTTTTTTTAATTTTTGAGAAATGTCTGTCTTAGTTCAATAACAGACCATGCCACAACCCTTTGCTCCCTTTCAAACTAGGCTACATGATCTCAGAGAAAATTCCACTTCTGTCTGTCAATAACCCTTCTGGGTTATCAAAGTTTAAACAGTTTGCTGTGCATGAGCAACGTCCATTACCAACATTTGCTTCCAAGGTATTTTCCCAAGACCTTTCCCAGTCTTGTTTCCATTATTGTAACATTGGGGATTAATTCTTCAGGACAAAACTGTTTGTTTATATACAGCATCTTGCAAAATACACAGAAGTCTCTTGCCTCAAAATACCCAGAATTCTTCTGCTCTCCTATACCCTAAGTCCTCGAAGCGTTTTGCCACTATCATCATTTTTAAAGTTTACATTCTTATCTTGAATGCTAACAGATCTTGCAATATGTTGGTAGCTAGGTTGTAGGAGAATGAAGGAAACTGTTAACCCCTGGATCCTTTTTCACTCCCTTGCTGAGGGAGTAAGAGTCAGATCAGCCCCTCTGCACCCTATTGTCCTCTGACGCTTTTATTTACAATTTCCCAAACTCTGACACATGTCTGCCACTGCCACTGATCTCTTCAATTACCCTGTTCTAAAAAGAGAATACTGTACCAGCCCAACAGAAATTACTTGTTCAGAGATCCATAAGACATTTAATAGTAGATCAGGAACTAAGCTACTGTCTTTCATAATTTCCAGCTCACCCAATTACTTTCTGCTCTTAGCAAACTATTAATTATAACAACTTCCAGAGGAAGATCTGAGAAGACTCATCAAATGCCTATACAATGATATCAAAGTTGGGAGGAAATTTCTTTCATTTGTCAGAAGAAAGTATAGGCTAAGGAGCTACTGTCATATTATTATGGTGTTGAGCTATATATCAAAAGAAAATTATTCCCCAAAATAGAACGTCTTCAGAAAGTGATTTCTCAGTCCCTGGAGATTATTCTAGCAAAGAGTTTATCTTACGGCTATGATAGAAGTCATCTCTTCGCTGATTTGGGTAACAGGGATAGAGTCAGAGGAATTCTGAGGACTTTCTAATTGACTTTCTCGGATTGCATTTGATCATTAAGAACTCTTATCAAGAGTTCAGTAGCTTCCAGAGGGATATTAGTATTCAAGGTGGGTGCAATGCTATAATATTGTCCGAAACATTAATATTAATACCAATTGATACCTCAATTTTTAATTCATTGAAAACATTTAAAAAACATCAAAATTTAATAGTTCAATGTCTTCCAGTTTAAAAGTAGCAGTCATGCCCACTTGTTCAGAAAGTCATAAAATGACTCTGTGATCTTGACCAGCAGAGGCTGCCATAGAATTTTAGAGTTAATCGTATCTGAAGAATTTACCTGCTGCAACTTACATTACGGTATGTCTTGATTTTGCGGAGGAGTTCAAAGAACAAGCCCAGGGTTTCACACATTATATGAGGCCTGTGCTGCCACTGAGCTTTAACCCTCACCTCAAGTTACATCATTCTGAGGGTAAAGAAACCCAGACTCAGGAAGATGACATAAATGGCTTAATGCCAGGCAGTAGCTAGTGGTAAGATTATAAATTTTATTTCTTGACTCAAAGTCCAGTAATCTTTCCATTTACCTGAGAATAAGTTGAAGCCTTTTGGGGTTTGTTTTTGTTTTTGTTTTTAATGGTGTTGTTATTTTCTGAGTATTTGTCACTTGATTTTACTTACCTAAATGTTGAGAGTTAAACCTAAGAGAACATGACAGAAATGAGATACATGATGTCAAGGAAATAGACTGAAATGAATGAAATGATTTTATGTAAAGTCATTAAAGCATACAACGTCCCTTCTTTTCTTTGAGGGGTGTACTGAGTGAGCAAATGCACTTTTAATGATAAGCCCCATGTGCTTGCA